ACTATTAAAGTGTTTGTGCTTGGATGAATATACTAACATATTTGTCTTTTGCTATGCATTTTAGATTTGGACCACCCTTTTGGGTGGGATCAGTTTGATATGCAAATGGCCCTGGTTATTTTTGTAGTGGCACAAGACAAGCTAAAACCAGCTTGAGATGTGAGCAGGGACCCACAGAAGGGCATGCTATTTGAGCTGTTGTCCATTCTCAGTACTCTCTTGCACCTTAATTTTTTATTTTTTTTTGCTTCCTAGTCATTCAGTGTGCTGTATTAGAAAACAAGCAACACTTGAATTAAAAGTAAACTACCACAAACATATTTGTTCTACTTAGCTGTAAACCTTTGGTAGGGTCTCACATAGTGGATAGCATATAGAGAGGCAGTCAAATTATCAGACAGACACATACCTCTCAACATTCGGAGGTATGGGATCGGGAGAGGTTGTGCAGGCCCAAGGGAGCATCACCATTGACGCAGCATGCCAGAAAAGTGAATGGCTGGCCCACTGAAGGAGCAAGTCAGTCTGGCTTTAAGCATGCCAGGCTGACAGACAGCCTCCATGCCAGCCCCTAACATGGAAGACCATGGAGAGGGCGCATGGTTCTACTGTACAACCGAAAGCTCAAGTGAATCTAATGACAAAAATCAAGATAGCAGGACAGGGTGCTAATATTGGAACTGTCCTTATAAATCAGAACTGTTTAAGGCCCTGTAGACTGACATAATGCATAATTAAAATGTTTAATTCTTGATTAAAAGTATATTATTAAACTGAAAATCATCCTACATTATTCATGGTTTTGTATAAGACAAGAAAGTTAAATGTGGCAATGGAAAACAAATATTGTTTCTTTAAATGACCTTTAATTTCTTTCCAAAGAGAAAATACTTTGCATAAACTAAGTGCTGCTATTATGCCTTCCATTGCAATTAGGAAGAGTGTGACAACAGCAATCAATTTCAAATGCATTTCTATTTATAGAGATACAACACCAGCCAAGATTCCTGTTGCACTGAAAAGTATTATTGAGCCACTCATGATGCAGGACAGAGACTGTTCAATGAATTTCAGTAATGTATACAAAAGACAGACATGCAGACAGAAGTATAGATAATGTTGTATCTTGTCTAATTATGCTTTAAAAATGACTCCATGCACCATGACCACTTTAATAATATGAATTATGTGCACCGTTTTGCTATGAAATGCCCATACAGAGTTAAACCCCTTTGCTGTTATTTGGGCATCATTTGGCTTCAGCATTATTTGGCCATCATTGGCTAGTTCAGAACAAGCTAATTTTGTGCATGCTTGGCATCTACTGTCATCATGCACAGCATGCTGGAGGTAGACAACCAATGGTGGCATGCTCCCCACATCCCTGTTGAGCATGTCCTCTCCTTAAGCTTACCCTCCATGACATCCCTACTCCTCCAGAGTATGATAGCACAGGATGATCTGGCTGCAGGATGAATGTGGCGAAACCGACCCCGCCACTGGGCATTGGAGAAGACTGATTGCCAGCCTCCTGCCATGTGACTATGGCCCCTGGGATGTATTGCCCTTTAAAGACATGATTTGGGCATAATGGATTTGTTGTGCTGCTGCTGGCTCTTTAAGAACCATCTGGGGACATACTGTGGAGTTACTTGGTGGCCACCATTTCCTGTATCAGAAGCACATGGTGAGAACAATGGATGGCGGCCATTTTAACTCACAGACACTGTTTGGACTTTTCAACACGGTGCCATCTCACCAGTATTTGGTACACAGAGACATCGTGCAGTGGTTTTGGACTACACAGCAGGGGACACATTATACAGTGATTGTTTTTCATTTAGCCTGTATATGTTCTGCAGAATCTGCATTAAACTGTATTTTCCAAAGTACTGAACGGATCTGGGTGAATTTTGGATATGTGGTTCAACCAGATCCCCCGGTTTTATGGGGTTATTGCATGTTTTGGGGTCCCTGTGATGTGTTTTATGAAACTGTATTTCTCTGTCTGTGATAATTAGATTACCCATTGTGTAAGTAATTGTATTACAGGCAGAGGGGAGGATTTTGTGTGGGAGTGTCTGTGTGTATTGTACAGATTGATTGGTTGTTCTGTAAAACCCTGTGGGCAGTACTAAGTTTGTGGATTGGGAATAAAAGAGGCTGTATGTGCCAGTACAGTCAGTTCCTGCTTAACCCTCAAAGTGAAGTGTCGTCTCATTATTGGGGGAGGATTTATTGTATGCTGTTCCAGTTTGACTGCTAGGAGTGTAAACCTATTCGCATGGTTTTTCCTATTCGGCTGTATACAACATTCATATGCTTGAGAGCATTCACATGCTCCTACGGTTCGGTGGTTTTGGTGTCTGCTGCAGTGCTTGGAGTCCTCAGGAAGTGCTAGGAGCATCCTTCAACGGAGGTACCCAGTCAGGGTGCCAGGTGATCCGTTACATTGGTGGCAGCGGTGGGATGGCGTCCTAGTGCGAGGTAAAGCAGCTCAGAGACACCGTTCATGGAGTTACAAATTGAGGGCAACGCTAGCACACGTGCAGCGCCCCTGGGAGCAGAGGTATCCAGCGACTTGGAGCAGACAAGTATGGAAGGCTCTGGCGATGATTGGATGGCCGAGGTAAGGCAGCGAGTGGCCCAGTATGGGGATGATTTACCCATGGAGGTACGCCGGGTGATCTGGAACCAGGTCACGGCCAAGCGAAACACAAGGGTGGCCCGAGAATTCCAGCTGGCGAAAGAGAGAGAGTATGCTCAGCGGAAGGAGTGTTACAGCAGCCGAGTAGAGGCTGCATCCGAGGAGGCTAGCCGTATCCCCCTGAGGCGGCCGCAGGAACCCGAAGTAGGGGTCCTCATAGACTGGTCCTGTGAGGAACCACAACAGGCAGGTGGAGATGGGACCGAGGTCTCTCCACCGGGCCCACTGGGATGCTGGGCAGCTGGCCCAGATCTCCAGCAGCAGCCACAGTTGCCAGGTGCGGAAGCAGGTGGTCCTTACTCCCAAATGTTGAGGGACCTCACAGACTGGTCCTGGGAAGACCCACAGATGGCAGGTGGAGATGGGATGGCGGTCTCTCTACCGGCCCTACAGGGATGCTGGGCGGTCGGCCCAGATCTCCAGCGGCAGTATGTATCACAGGGAGTTGAAGGTGCTGTCCTTCCTCCCCAGTGGCAGTGTGAGTCCCAGGGAGCCGAAGGTGTCGTCCTTCCTCCCCAGCGGCAGTGTGAGTTCCAGGGAGCCGAAGGTGCCGTCCTTCCTCCCCAGTGGCAGTGTGAGTTCCAGGGAGCCGAAGGTATTGTCCTTCCTCCCCAGCGGCAGAGTGTGTCCTTAGGAGAGGAGACAGTTGGTCCCTCTCCCCAGCAGTCCAGTGAGTCACAGGGAGCCGAAGGTGCTGTCCTTCCTCCCCAGCGGCAGTGTGTCCTGCAGGGAGCAGAGACAGTTGATCTCGCTTCCCAGCAGCGGGGCAATATATTGAAAGGAGAGACAGTCAGTCCCCCTCTCCACCAGCAGAGAGAGAGTCAGGGAGAGGAGCCTGTTACCCCTTCTCCCCAGCGGTTGAAAGTGTGTAAGGGAGAGGAGTTTGTTACCCCCTCTCCCCAGCAGCAGCGTAGCCCACCATGGGGAGACACTAAGCCCCCCACCAGCGCAGTTGGGACCGTGGCCTCTGCGCCCAAGCTACCGGGAGTACGGACAGTCAGTCCTGCTCCACAGTGGCAGAGAATTCTACTGGGAGGGGAGAGTCTCGTTCCCCCTCCCCAGTGGCAGCCTAACCCACCAAGGGGAGATGATAAGCCCCACACCGGTGCAGATGGCACCGTGGTCTCTGTGCCCAAACCACAGGGGGTAGGGATGGTCGGTCCTGTCCCCCAGCAGCAGGGCTGTATATCCAAAGGGGAGACAGCCTGTCTGCCCCTCCAGCAGCAACACCAGGTCCAGCGGGAGGATCCTACTATGCCATTCCCTCACCTGGGCTCCAACCAGGCTATTCCCGTGGTAGCGCCGGCACCAGGGCAGAGTACCGCTGGTCTCTGCCCACCCAGCAACCCATCGATCCAGAGTGCTAGTACCCCCCAGAGCCAAGGTGGAGCTCCTGGACCTGGACAAGTGACCCACTACTCCAGGTGTAGTAACCAATTTTCGTGGGTGGGTTATACTGCGGATTCTGTTTTGTGGGTGGGTTGCTGGACTAACCAAGGCACTGACCGACAGGAGGTCAGATACCTTGTTAGTCTTTTTGGGAAAGGGGAGAAATGTGGTGAAACCGACCTCGCCACTGGGCATTGGAGAAGACTGATTGCCAGCCTCCTGCCATGTGACTATGGCCCCTGGGATGTATTGCCCTTTAAAGACATGATTTGGGCATAATGGATTTGTGTTGTGCTGCTGCTGGCTCTTTAAGAACCATCTGGGGACATACTGTGGAGTTACTTGGTGGCCACCATTTCCTGTATCAGAAGCACATGGTGAGAACAATGGATGGCGGCCATTTTAACTCACAGACACTGTTTGGACTTTTCAACACGGTGCCATCTCACCAGTATTTGGTACACAGAGACATCGTGCAGTGGTTTTGGACTACACAGCAGGGGACACATTATACAGTGATTGTTTTTCATTTAGCCTGTATATGTTCTGCAGAATCTGCATTAAACTGTATTTTCCAAAGTACTGAACGGATCTGGGTGAATTTGGGATATGTGGTTCAACCAGATCCCCCGGTTTTATGGGGTTATTGCATGTTTTGGGGTCCCTGTGATGTGTTTTATGAAACTGTATTTCTCTGTCTGTGATAATTAGATTACCCATTGTGTAAGGTAATTGTATTACAGGCAGAGGGGAGGATTTTGTGTGGGAGTGTCTGTGTGTATTGTACAGATTGATTGGTTGTTCTGTAAAACCCTGTGGGCAGTACTAAGTTTGTGGATTGGGAATAAAAGAGGCTGTATGTGCCAGTACAGTCAGTTCCTGCTTAACCCTCAAAGTGAAGTGTCGTCTCATTATTGGGGGAGGATTTATTGTATGCTGTTCCAGTTTGACTGCTAGGAGTGTAAACCTATTCGCATGTTTTTTCCTATTCGGCTGTATACAACATTCATATGCTTGAGAGCATTCACATGCTCCTACGGTTCGGTGGTTTTGGTGTCTGCTGCAGTGCTTGGAGTCCTCAGGAAGTGCTAGGAGCATCCTTCAATGGAGGTACCCAGTCGGGGTGCCAGGTGATCCGTTACAATGAACTTGGCCTTGGCGCTGGATTAAAGAGAGTTTGATTTTTTTTTTGGGTGGGGAGGGGCAAGTGCAGGAGCAGGATAGGAGGGGTTACTTTGACCAAAAACACTGTTTTCTTAATGCACTTTTTTTTTGGTTGGAGTAACCCTTTAACATTATAAGGATATTATTGTATGTTAATGGCCAGTATTAGCTTGCATTTTTCACTTTTGACAAAATGTGTGATAGAAGTTAGTTTTTTAGTTTGGAGATAGTGATGATCTAGGCTAGTGGAACTCTTCCAAGTGTTGCTGATAAAAGTAAATGTCTTGTCTGCATTTCAGACATTGCATGGACACATCAATTGTCTCTATGAGAACACTGAAGTTCTGGTAAGCTGCATCATCATTGGACAGACAGTAGTGACTCCTGCTCTACCCACAAGGTGATAGGTGCTGCTTTACAGGACAACATGGTAGAGTAAGGATGCCTCCCAACAGACCCATGTTTTGTGATATAATCCCTATTTTGGAGTACTATTCCCCCATTTTGTTCTCAGTATCCTCCTGTGCAGTGGGCAGTAGGAACATGCAGAGAGTGCTTTAGCAACATTCCCTATATAGTCTTCAATGTAGGGATCTGGCTGGGAGGCTGTCTGTGAACTTGGCATGCTTGATGCAGACTCACATGCCCCGTTCAGTGAGCAGATGTGCTTACCTTTCAGGTAGACTGCCCATCATGGATATCGCAATTGGCACAAGTTGCGTACCTGATGACACCCCCTAAGAAAATCTGCCTCCCATCCCAATTCCCCCCACTGGAAAGTTGGGAAGTATGCAGATGTTCAACACGGTACACCACATAGATTTGTAAAACAGGTTACCTGTTATAATATTTGAGAAAGGGGACTTTCCCAGAAGAGGACCTGTGGAATACTCTTATCAAGATAATCACTGACTGGCTGGCTAATTCCCTGGCCTAAACATTTTATGTGAAATAGCAAACAAGGCTCTGTGCTCTGTGCCACAGCACTAGGAGGCCCTGTGTGATCCTAGCTGCTACATTATGCAATATTACCCAATAGAAGAAATCATGCACAAGAAGTTCTTTGCAATTTTGACTAAACCAAGCTGTCCTTTGTTAATTATATCTCACATATTACCCTGAATAAAAGCTGCTCAAGCCCTGTATTTCTGCCTTATATGAGAGGGAGATTCATTTTTGCATCCCTTTAATTCAGAAAGCATGATTAACAAGGTGTAGTAGAGCTTCACCATCAAGAAGATCTGCTTGCCTTATTCAACATACTTACTAATTTTCATCTTGCAACCTATTCTTTCACTATCCAGGTCTCCTAACCCTTTATGTATACCAGGTGCTCCCTTCAACTGAAAAACCACTTCAGTGGGTTGTCCCATCTGAACCCCATTTGTCAAAGTGTGGAATTTAAGCTCAAACATGTGAAATAAAAAAATGTTAAGCTTGTCTAATATTCCTCAAGACTGCTGCCTTTTTGCCTTCCCTGCCCCAGACTTATTTTGTCTGCATCACTGCATGTATTCTTTTTGTGGACTGGGGTAAGCCTGAAGTTGAAACCTGCTTTATCATCACTCAGGCATGTACCTCATCTAACTCCATCTTCAGTATAAGTTTCTGTTCTATTCAATGTGAGTCTCCACTCACCACTTTTATATATCTCATTTAATTATTATTATTATTGCCATTTATATAGCGCCAACAGATTCCGTAGCGCTTAATTTAATGATTTGTCATGCTCTAGAAAACAAACCTGTATTCAAGCCATGAACACCAAAAAGACCTCCTGCTCCCTCATTCCACTCCACACTTGAAGTGATGTACTCCGCTATGTTCTTCACTAAAATGCTAATACATGTCTCATTCTGCCCCAGATTAATGGGAGCTACATGTTAAACACATCTGATATCTTTTAACATTTATAGATACTGGAAAAAAGAACACAAGCTTATATGTGACTATTTTAATAGAAAATGGATACATTCACACATCTGATTAATATTATTGAGCTTATGAAATAGTCAAAAGTAGAAGATATGGATTAACCAAAGGAAATCCTGGATTTACACTTTAATACCTCATCTTTCCTATGCTCTTTTTATAGAATTATTGTTAAATCAACCCCTACAATTATTTTTACTGTAAGCAATTTAATTTAAAATAGATTTTTTTCTCACACATGGTTGCACCAGCATTAAAGGGCTAGAAAAATCCATATATCATATTTACCAAAAAGCTAGAAATGCTCAGTTCTAAAAAGAGCAATATTAATAAATACCTTCTAAGGCAGTGGTTCCCAACCCAGTCCTCAAGTATCCCGTAACAGTCCAGGATTTAGGGATTACCCAGTTGTATCTAAGGTGTTTTTTTAGAAAGCAAAAAAATCAACTTTAGACACAACAGGCTAAACCCTAAATTCTGGACTGAAAGAGGGTACTTGATTACTGGGTTGAGAACCCCTGTTCTAAGGGTAGGGTGTCCATGTTTATGACAACAAAAAAAGATGTTTAGCGCTTAGCTACTGGTGTGATAATGAGAGTTTAAACTTCAATAAAATGATGCTATGTAGATTAGAAATGCAAAACCTTTACTAAGGCCCATTGTACGCTTCAAGGAGTATTTTCTCATTCATGCTAATCTCAACTCAAAGGTTGTTGTGATAGACCCGGGCTTGACAATTTTTGGCATTCCAGATGTTGTGAACTACATCTGCTGTGATGATTTTCCAGCACCATGGTGGCAAGGGAGACGTAGTCCAGAACATCTGGAGTGCTGAAGGTTGCCTATCCCTGTAAATCACTCATTATCTGACAAGGCCCCACATAATCACCCCAATAATTGTGATGTAGATCAGTTATTGAGGTCTTGCACTGCCCTTATGCATGCGGTTAGTGGTGGAAAGGAGAAATTAAATATATTTCTTTCTAATTATCTTACAACTATATCTATGCTGTAGTATAATACCAACTCAAATGTCAATTAATAGATTTTAAATTGTGATACACAAAATCGGACTGATAAAATATATACTTTTAAAAAGAGCAAATAAGCAGTCATTTTCTTGGTACAAAACACTGCTTTAATGGCATCTCATACCTATCCAACTATATTAAAACAGAATCTAGGGAACATGACAGATATAAATGTATATCGACCTAAAGCAGAATATATACATAGACCTGACAATATGTTTATCCAGGAAAAACGAAAACATTCTAAGTTTTAAATCTTTTTAAAGTTCTAAATGTTTTCTATTAAATGAACTAAAAACTATATGTGGGCTTACAGCATTGCCACTCCGTTCAACCAATAAATACACACTTCAGATAGCTGTGCACTACAGATAAGGACCACTTCATCCATCATCTTTGAAAGTAATTCCAGGTTAGAGACCCTTTCTGTCAGCCTTTGAGTCAACCTATCAGAATCTTGCAGGTGTCTTTGGTCATTAAATGTCATAGTCCACACTTGCAAACAGTGACCTTTTGTGATAATATCTACTGTGCTGAAGTTGGAATGGCTCCACAGCTAGATGTTTGTTTTTTTCCAATTAGTTTGCAAAACAAATCTATTTCTTTATTGCCATGAATCTGCAAAACACACTCAAGCATGCACTTTTATTTTGTTTTGAAATGTAACAGTATGTTGAATTTTTTTAGCTTATTAGAATGTTATATCACAACCGCAAACAAATGCATGTTTTATGTATAGGTGTTAAAGATATAATTTCTTCTACCAGGACATGATATCTCTTGAGAAAATCTTGAGATTTTCGGTTCTTTGCTTTTTTTTTTTTTTTATAAAGACAGGTACCGGTAATGAAGAACTTTAATTGACTGGATACGTTATGATTGTTTTAACTTAGTTTACAGCTTAATAAAGGGAATGCAATGCAAACTTCAGGAAACTGTTTCAATAGTTAATGCTTGATTTTTTTTCAGTATAGTACTCTCTATAGGTCAATCTTTATGTAATCAACTATAATTGTATTCATTAATAGTTATTTAGTTATCTGACCTATGTCTGATGAGGTCAATTCAAGTCTTGTGTTTGAGGCTGTATACAAACAATTGGCAATGTTTTCGCTCAGCAGAGCTAAGAAAATCATGTAATATAAAAGACATGATGGCAAAATCAGTTTTATTGGAAAAAAATGATATCACATGGTTCTGGAGGCTTTATTAAAGCATTCAACCTTCTGTTTCATGACGTATTATTAATGATTCCAGAACCCCTTGAATATATAATTTGTCCATTATATGTGATTCACAGTTATGAATCCTCTGTATAATATAATTTTATAAGTTGATAATGTGCATTCAGCTGGATTTTCATATTTTTATAAGAAACATTTCATTTTTAAAGTCTCTTTAAATCCTTAGGCTTATCTGATAAGATGCTTTCATACTTTTTATATCCTTACGTTTATCTTATAGGTTGCTCTCATACTATTAAAATACTTAGATTTCATTATTTAATTAAATTATCCCATATATTTACATAAACCCATAAATGTGTTTTGTGCTGAAATATAGATCATTATAATAATAATAATAATAATAACCATGACACAATTTAGCTGAGAATTGTGAATAAGTATAAAGTGTATTTTTAACCCCCTAGTGACCAGACCGTTTTTCAATTTTCTTACTGTTAAGGACCAGGGCTGTTTTTACATTTCTGCGGTGTTTGTGTTTAGCTGTAATTTTCCTCTTACTCATTTACTGTACACACACATATTATATACCGTTTTTCACGCCATTTAATTATCTTTCCAAAGATACCATTATTTTCATCATATCATATAATAAGCTATAATTTTTAAAAACCAAAAAAAATCTTTTTCTAACTTTGACCCCCAAAATCTGTTACGGATCTACAACCGCCAAAAAACACCCATGCTAAATAGTTTCTAAATTTTGTCCTGAGTTTAGATATACTCAATGTTAACATGTTTTTTTTTGGAAAGTTATAGGACAATAA